CGAGCATCCCTTCTGCAGCCATCCCAGCTGGCACACAGCTTGTCTCTGAAAACCTCTGGGTCCAGGCTCCGAAGCAACATAATCCAGCAGCGAACGGAGCTATGTGACAGTACATTTCTAAAGTGGAGCTCCATCATCATCCAGGCAACACTACAATTTTTGAACACTGAACAGTATATTTCTACATTTCAGAAATCACAGGTAGTAATCACCAATACTTGCAATATAGCTTTTTTTTTCCCTATATCAGCCAATTATAGTCTAATTAAAGATCTTCCTTTTGATATTTACTGACTATAACATACAACAGGCAATTATACCCTCAAAAGACTGTAAGCTGTCTTCTAATTAGGAAAGCATATGCTGTCCTGTAAATAAGGCTAGAATCAGCTTGGTCTGAAAAAAAATTTAAAAAGGAGGCTTTAGATATCATTTCAAACTATTTAGTTACTGAAATGGAATTTTCTGTGCCTGCCAAAATGAATCCTATTCAATGTGATGCAACAGGTGTTGGAATTCCAGCAGCCGCCTGCAAGCCACATCTGGTAACGGTTAGGAGTTTAAAGGAAGTTCTGTAAGAACTGCTTATGTATAAAAACTATTCATCAGTCAAATCTATGGGCCATATTCAGCCACCACTGCACTGTGCATAGTTTAGATTTTTGTCATTTACAAAAACCAGAATTCTGCTCCTCATGAAATTTTAGGAATCTCAGGCACTTGTCCAGGTTGAAAGTGTGTGTGGGATTCATGTGGCCATATCGGTGTGTCAGAGGGGATGGAGAGCTTGCAGCTATAGAACAAGCTGCGAATATATCTAAATTGCAGAAACAGGCAGCACAAATTGATCTATTCAGAACCATTCTCATTTTTCCTGTTAAATCCTGTACTCACTAGATTTCAACAGAAGGTAGGTAAGAAAATGGGACAAGCAGTTCATAATCAGCTTTAGGGAAGTCACAATCATCACTTCTCCCTCTCAATGGAGGAAAACAAAAGCCTGTATCAGTCATTCCATAATGTGGGACAAGAATAAAGTCTTAGTTAATTTTTGCAGTACTGCATTCACAGAAAAAAACCTTAATTGCTAGTTTTATTCTCCCTTTTTTGTGCGTACCTGTAACAGCCTCCTTTCTGTTGGTCAAAAATATCCAATGTAGAAACTGCTAACTGCCAAATAAGTGACCTACTGGCTTTACCACACTACCCAAGCTTACCAGCAACGAGGATAATTTTGTCTTTTTACAGAAACTACAACATCAGCTCTGATACAGACTGGCAGAAACGAGAGTGAGCCCACCTCCTGGGAATACAAACATCTCTAGAGCAAAACTACAAGGGAAGATTAATTAAAGAGCACATTCAAAATAAGAGTATAATCTGAGCAAGAAATAATGATATCAAGAATATGATTATTATATAGCTCTGACAAAAATGTGTATTAGTCATCCACAGGAGAAACTACTTCCTCTAATACTGTATTTTAAATCCTTATTAAATGACTGAAATAGTACTAAAAAATCATTAATACAGGCAGATGTTCATTAGGAACAGGAATGTACTTAATCAGGAGCAACTGACTGTCATTTTGATATTTAATAAGAAATTGCTTTTTAGCTTTCTTCTACTGTAATGAATTGTAACTTATTACAGGCTCCACATATGACTGATGTAATGGAAGTTGTACATGGTCTCAGCATTTGGTGGAAGTTTTATGCACAAATTATACAGGAGCTAGAGAGACTTGTGGAGTCTCCACTCAGAATTATTCAAAACTCAGCTGGACAACACCTTAATTAAATGTGTAAATTAAATTGCTTAAGACAAGAAATTACGTTTAGGTATGACACTGGCCATCTCTGACTATATGAGCCAAAAGGTTGTTGTCTTCTAAGCAGCAATTTGTTTACTCCCTTAACATTTAAGGTTTAAAATCTTGAAATAGCTGGAAATGGGATAAATCTTGTACATACACAGAAAAAGGAACAGGATAGGGCCTTGCGGATACATTAACACAGAAATATTTTAAAAGAATCTGATGAGCAGTATTTGAGAGTATTCTGCAAGCCAAGTCCTCCAGTCTTGTGCTTGCTTTACAGACCACACACAAACACAGCAGAGGAAACAATCTAAGATTATTTCTGAGAGTTGAACAGGAATGCTCACATAATCACTGGAAATGCTCTTAATTGGTGTGGCTCAGTGGTGCAATTCAGAACTGTTAGATCCTCTGCCACTGTGGAACTCTTTTCATGTCCTGGCAATCACAGTCCAGCCAGAACTTTGTTTATCATGTTCTGTACGAGTTTCCGGATGTCCAACAAAGTAGCATTTACTACAAGGCAAGAAGACTGCAGTAATCCAGTGAGTTCTCATTAACCTAAAATGCAGAAACATCTGCTGGGGTCACGAGCTGCTTACTTGCTGTTGATGAGCAAAGAATCAGCTCCATTTGCAGCGCGTGTGAACAAAGAATGAGAGTGCTGGGGGCTGGTGGTGCAGAGACAAACAGGCTTCAATTATCTCCGCGCTGCAGCTCCTGTAGAGCAACCACAGGCAAGCAGGGATGCTCCCTTATGTTGACCCCTGATGACCCTATCACAGGGAACACAGGAATTGCATCCAAAAAAAGCCAAAAAAGAAGGAAAAAAAAGCTTTTACTCAGCCCTTCTGAGCTGATGTCAAGACAGGCAACACCACAGTAACCCAGATAAAGTGGGTAGACCTTCCCGAGAGACACAAGAACCCACACAGGGCAATTTAAACAAAGCAAGTTGGTTTAAAATGATCCTTGCCAATCCCTTTCTCAACAACTAATGACAGTTTTGCAGAAGACAAATCCCTGCATCTCTGTGGCTCATTCCTCCCTCTGCATCCCTCTGTGCTCCCCCCACACACACTTAATCCTGTCTTAATGTCCATTACTATTCTGGAGTGGAAGAACTTGAACCACTATTTCTTCAACGAGTCTAAAAGAATCCTTTTAGTACTAATATTGAGGAAGATCAAAATGGAAAAAACTCTCAGTTCAAAACCCTTCTCTAGATAGAAGGAGTGTTAGATAAAGGAGCTCAGCCTACCATTTGCACAAAGATTTATTCAACAGCTCAACTGAAGGAAAAGAATGGCCAGAATGTTCAAATCAAGACACATCCCTCCCACCAGAGGCTCTATCTCTGCCTTAGGCTTGTCTAGATAATGACTGCCACCCGCAGCACCACAGCTGAACTTCTACACAAAGGATTTAGAGCCTCTAATTCTGACCAGTTTGAGCATTACCCTAACTTTGAAAAAGACCAACTGCCTGGCCAGTGATTTTATTACACACAAAGCTTTCTATTGAGAGTTCCACACTCAGAGAGGAAAACAAACCAAAAAATACCCCACAAAAAACAAACAAACCCCCAGCTTATTACTAACCCTAAAATTGACTGTTTAGCAAAGATCCCCACCCTGTGGCCAATTTTGTAGACGCAACTCAGTCTTGATCAAGACCAGGATCCTGCCACTTGCAGCATCTATTATTCAGGGCCGGAAGAGCAGCACACACAGGAGCTATCATGCAGTGTCCACCCAACATGTGTGAGGACGTAGAAATAACCAGATGAATCTTAAAATTACTCATTGCCTCCTCCAATCCATGGACAAACAAAATGCTATAAAATACAGAAGGAGAAACTTTTGGCTATTGACTTCTCATCTAGCACACGGCCCATCTTACTGCTACATTTACTACAGCTTATTTAAACACCGGATTAAATTAAGAGGAGACAGGATCTAGTTAGACCCTTAATACCAGCAACAGAACCTAAAAAAATTATGGAGTTTAAAATATTTTTAAACAGCACACGCAGAGGGCTCCAATTTTTTTTTTTTGAGCAGGCACCAAAGGTTGATAGACACAGCATAAACTAGAAACATACCAGTATGCAAATAGTTTTTTATAAATCATCACAGAAAGAGGTTCCACAGGTACGTATACAGGATAAATGTATTTCAGGCAGCTACATACATCCCGCATCACAAAAATGGAAAGGATGTTGTGAGGGAAGAATGCCACACTTGGCATGTGTTCACAACAGATATTTTCTATTCCTCATCCAGGCACTTACTCAGTTTTTAGGTAGAGAATTCTCTTGACATTCATAATCTTCTAGTCTCAAAATTTGGGGTGGTAGTAGGACACAGCTTGCCATTTGGACTAGTTAATGCCTATAAACCCATTACTGTATGTATTGTGTAGTATTAGCCCCACACAAGCCAGAGAGAAACAGAAGTTTCTGCAGGACAAACTGAAAATATTCAGAAGTGAAGCCTATTGATACAGCAGTGAAAGACAATTTTTATTATAAAATGAAATTATAGAGTCCTTAAAAAGAATGTGTCAGGTTAATATGAAAGCATGTCAAATTTTAATAATTTGCTTCCAAGACAATTGGTTGATAAAACAAGAAGCTTCTCACTGTCGCAAGTGGTCAAGTTCCTCCCATTCATCAGACCCACTCTTAGCTACCCATATAGCTTTTCCTCTTGGCAAATAAAGAAACAAGGGACCATTTCCCCCAGAAATTGCTCACTGAGTGATCAGTGTCCATACTGTATAATCCTAGAGATGTCCTTACTATATCAGCAGAGGCACAGTACCACACACAATTCCTTACCAACATTCCAATATGTTGCCCTTTAAGGAACACTACTTAGAAGCAAGTCTCTTTCCTCACTTGAAGCCAGATACACAACAGTAAAAAAACATGAGTAGACAGGCAGCATTTGCTAAGAACAGCATTTCTTATTGCTTACTTTCAGTACTGTTAAATAGAAAACAACCAGGAAGGTGGCACAGGAAATCACATCTGTGAAAGAGATGCTTCTCTACAGCGCAGCATGGAGAACTCTATTAGTCTGTATGTTTCAGGTTTAATTCTGGTATCGTTGGGACAAGTCATATGTTTAAACAATAAAAAGATAAGTCTGGTGGCACTGATAGTACACAGCCAACAGTAAAAAACTTATTTGAAGTACCAGTGTTTTACAGCATCTAGTCCATGGTTCTCTTCACATATTCTTTGATTATGCAGAGAAACTTCTTTACTGACTTCAGATGACAAGTTCTGCACATTACTGTAGCCCCTGGAACAAACAAAACAGGCTAAATCAGTTACAGTGGAGGATCGTTAACTCTTGCTTACCCAACACAGACCATGTACCTAGAGATTCACAAGATTCTCCTATTCTACAGCCACCAGAAGAAAAATTTAAATTTAGTATTTGCTCCTCGCCAGCAAGAATTTGTGGAAGCAGCTTGTAGAACAGGCAGATTTGGGGGTGGGTTCAGGGTCTCTCAGCTTCAAAAGATTTTAGTTGTAGCCTCTCTTCCAGGAAGGGAGGAAAGAGAATTTACATTATACTTCTCAGGCTTTCAGTGGTATTCCATTTTCACTGACACTATGTTCAGAGAAGCCACCTTTTTCTCTTTGCTCATGGACAGTGCCCAATACAGAGGGAGCGTGCATGACTTGATGGGAAGAAAAATAAAGCTACATTTACTCTGGTACAATTATTCTTTAAGACTGAATGCTTCTGAAATCACTTTTCTATCTCTGCACTTCTTCACTCTTGCACATTTGCATTTTGCTAGGGCTGCCCTTGCTCACGGAAACTAAACAAAAGTAAAGACATCGTTTAGAGACATTTAAAATACACAAACAAGAAAAAATATTCCGAAGCTGTAAGAGGTAGCAAAAGAAATATGGCTACCTACCACACACAGAATTAAACTTAGTCCTAACAAGTCTTTCAATTATTCCTCCAATACACATGCTGAATTCCAAAGTTGAGATCTGTAGGTTTGCTCTAAATATTAAATTGGAGAGTCTTTTGCCACATTTTTTGTAAATACCTTTGAAGTTCTTTATCTAGTTCCTCAAGGACTTTTTTAAACTCTTTCAGGTCAGTGCATGCTTCCACATTTTCTTCTTCCCAGGTAGGTGCAACTTCTGCCAGAAGCTCCTGTGTGACAGTTAAATGCTTTTGCAGTTTATCTACAATATAGGAGATATTAGAAACATTACTCAGAATTGCACAGTCAATGAATGTAAGATTATTTAACAGCTTAATAATTGGAGTAACCCGAAACAAGTTAACCAGAATTCAAATATTGAAAAACCACTGCTGCTTCAGCCTTCACAAATATATCATGAAAAAAAATATGAAAGCCAAGTTATTTGAGTTAGGAAGACAACTGCAGCAGGAGGGTGTTAACATCACAGCAAAACATGTGGCTAATGCTGTTGTATGCAAGAGCACACACAAATGAATCCAGTGGTTATAAAGAAATCCAAGACCAATGTAAGAAAAAAATATGATTTCTGAAAGTAAATTTGAAAATTAAAGTTTTCCTACCCAGATATGTTAGCTTATCTCCTTCTATGTGTATATTCTTCACAGGTAATTCATGTCTAGTGGCATCAAGGGAAGTTGCAAAGGTTTTATATTGCTCTTTAAACTTTTCACAAACAGTAACAAGGGGAGTGAGTAGCTCCATCTGCAGAGGACACATGATGAACCAACACTTCACAAAGAAGCCATTTTAATAACAGAGTTTATACCCCTATAGGCTGTGATTCAAGTCCGGCTCAACACAGAAAATAATAATGAAGTAGCACAGAATAATTCAGGACAATTGTGGTATGTTATTTCTATTCTACTGTTTAATAGGTTTTCTTCTGTCACCCCAAAATATCAGAGACAATGCCATTTTCCTTGTCACTGTAGTTCAGAAGTGTTAGAAACTTATCAGGCAAAATGTTTTGCCTTTGATCTTTGGGCTCAGGTACAACATATACCCCCCCCCCAAAAATGATTAATTTTTGAAAATTACAGCTCTAAATCTACAATACATATCTCTTAAAAGTAAATCAAAGTTTAGCTTTTAAAATTAGTTATTCTAGCAATACTATCCTTTTGATTTGATGCAGTAAGTCTAACAAAATATTGAGAAAGAGGGGAAGTTTTAGCTTTTAAAATCATCTATTAAGAAAATAATTAGAAATGATTAGAGACTTGTCTTACAGCCAGGCTAGAATTATTGTTATCATTAAATGAGAAGTGAACACCTTCGGCCCTTTTTAAGGTTAGCACCTCAGCTCTAGTCATGATAATCATAACTGCATAACTGCAGGAAGTTCATGTGGTTTTAAGCCACTTATATCTCTTCTGCATCAACTGTAACCTGCCCTGGTAATTGGGGCACTATTGCTCTCCCTTGTCTAATAGCTCAGGCTTCTCCTTCCCACCTATCCACAAGGGACAGCAGAAAAAAGTGACACAGGCATTTGTTTAGGTTACTACAGAGCATAATGTCACAACAGGAAGCAGATATTTATTTCGAGATGCATAAAATTCCATATCAATAGGCCATGGAAACAGAAGCGTCTGAAAAAGACTGCTTCATAACCGAACTTTTCTAAATGTAGAAGTACAACCTGTAATAAAGCCTACCTGTCTGTCTAATGCATCTTCCAGCGCTTGTTCTTGCTCTTCAAGCTGCAATTCACGTGTCAACTCACAGAGCTTTTCCTGTAGCCTCTCCTTTTCTTCACACAACATTATCAAGTTTTCTTCTGCTTCTTCTTCCAGCTGGGCAACATTTCTTTCTATCTATTAAATCCAAAAATATTCATAACTAAAATGATGTTACATCTGAAGTAATTAACATTCTGAAGCAGAACATGAAAGCCTCATTCAAGTTCAAAAAGCCTCAATTAAGAAGTTGGAGACCTCATGCAATACACACAGTATTTTTCAGTTAAAGCCACTCCATCTTCTCCCCCCATCCCTGTCAATATCTTTTGTAAACGAAAACTATCCACATTCAGTACTGAGCGAGTAGCTACCTCCTTGAAATACAAACACTCCCCTCCAGCTTTCCCAAAACTTTTGCACCCACCACCTATTTTATAAAGAACTATAATCGGTCTAACTGGCACAGAATTGACTCCAGGAGCATTTTCAAAGCAAGCTGTATAGTTCCACAGCCATTCATACATCAAATGATAAATATCTAACTCTTATGGATGAGAAAGCATGAAAGAGCTTGATAAGAAAGAGCCGCCTAGTTTCTTTTCTATCTGAAGTACAAAATATTTGACTGACACCCACCTTTACTCTTAGGTAAGTTAAAAGAAGTGTCTGAGATGCCAGCCATTTCTGAAGATTACCAGAACCAGTTTTCTTTAAGAAAAAAAAAAAAAAAGAAAAAGAAAAAATACCAGCTCAATTTCAGTATTAAACCAGTTACTTTTCAGCATTCAAACAAATTACTGGTAATCTGATTTCTGCCCAAAATCAGCATTACTGCCAACAACTGTCAGCTGTGTAAAGAGACTTTGTGTTTTCAAACATTGCATAGTATCTAAAAACATCTAAATAACTTAATTATTCATTGTTTCATCATTTTTCCTATTTCATAAGCAGAGCAGGCTATGATAAGAGGTGGAAGCAAAACTTCAATCTCTGTTGCTGAGATTTAGGACCTACTGGAAGAAGGACAGGCCTACCATCTAGCTTTTACCAAAATGCTTTAAGCCATCTTGAAAACCTTAGCTTTTGTTATCAACAGAAATTGAAAATACTCATTGATATGTTTCAAAATAAGTTAAAGCAGTGAAACTCACGCCACGCTGCTTTTTTTCACATGTCCTTGTATCTGTTTTGCAAGCCAGCTTTGAAGTAGAACTCTTTTTCAGGAGACTTTTGCCTGAATCAAAATAGGAGACATTATTACTGTTTTTTTCCCCCCTCTAGAAAAGCATGTTTGACTTCATGTAATCAACTTCAAACTCACAGGGACTTTTGAAATGATTATGTTCCATTAGAAGAGTTCCAGTAGGAGACTTGTGCTCCATTTCTGGCTCTGATTATACTCATGAGAAGACGTAGCTTATACAAGCATTTTATACTGATACTCAGCTTTATATGACAGCCATGGATAGATGTGGTACAGTTTTCAGAAGGACTGATTAAAAAAATCTGTTGCAGAAACAAAGATTTGTGGGTGCTTTGCTCTTTAATATTACATTTCAAACATGAAAAAAGAAAAAGCACCCAAAAGATATTCAAAATCAAGAGCATGATTTATTCTTCGAAGACCTCAAAACCTAAAGCTTATTTAAAAGCAAGATTTACCATATCTACCTTTAACAGTATCTCCACATGAGCACAATACAGCACAAGTGTTAAGTTAAAATGAAGTTATACTAAACTAAAAATAATAAAATAAAAAAAATGAATTTTGAGTGGCGCTTACCATTAATAGCTGAAATATCAAGGTCAGGTCGCGTAACTTTATCGTCATCTAATAAAGTGGATTGTAAGTCACGTTTCCCAAAACTGCTCTGATTTAATGAATGAAGCGTATCTTCTGTAAAAAAAGAAACTGTTATCAGACAAAAACAAATAGAACAGATTCTGCACAAGTTTACAACTGTATATTCTTTCATTAACATGTAGTAACCTCAGAGTAACTTTTAAACACTTACTTTACATACAGCATTTGTGGAATTCATAATTTAAAACAGTTCAAAACTTATCCTCAAACATTTCACATTCAGTAATAAAACTTAAGTGTGAAAAGTAAATCATGATTTTCACATTAAGGTCTCACCAGAACATTCTTCTGCAATTCTTGGCAAAAAAAAAAAAGAGTACAGTTTTGCAGATAATTCCATGTAGAGGGATTTGCTTTGCTTTACACTGGGTTTACCTTAAAGATTTAAGAAAAACCTGGGGCAATGGTGAGGCCATACTGAAAGGACAGTCCAAAGTTTTGCAGATAAAGCAAGGGATATACTTATTCTAGATGTGTAAACTAGTGTTTAACTACTCAATTCTGGATTAGTTTTGTGTGAGAAAGTCCAGATAAGAGTTTAATGCATTTCAGTTTACATGTCCTAAACTCGCATCCAATTCATGCATCTTAATTCTCCTTACATACACTTTCACAAAAACTAGCAGTGCCGTAAAAGGAATACGAAGTATCATCTCTTCAAGACATTTTTTGAGTTGTTACGAGTTCTGCAGGTGGGAAATAAATTTAAAAGAACATCATCTAAAAGTATCTGCAAAACCTACCAAAACTTTTGCATTTCTGAGGAAGAACTGTTCTCCTTGGTTGGCTCCCTCCTTTTTCAGATGATTTAGCAGTGGAAGTTGTAAAAGAATTTGATGAGCTACCCTGACAATCAAGAAACACATAAGTCTGAACACAAGCAGCAGCTACAAGAAGTGAACATTATTTTGCTATTTGTATAATGACAGATAAACAATTACTACTCTCAGGCATCTCAGTACTTTGCAAAGCGGTTAGTTACAGCCTTAAGCCCCCCTCCTCCCCAGCCTACATCTATCTGCCAATAATAAACGGCTCCCCCCCAGCCTTAACAGAGCTGTCTTTCATTTAAAATCCCGCTCCCAGAACCGAAACCACAGCCTTGGATCGTTTCTAGTCGTTGACAAGAATCTGCAATGAGGCGCCCAAGTACCTTTTTGTTTTCTTTCTTGTCATACTGCAGATAGCGAGACTTCACGATCTTTCCTCCTGCAAGAGGAGCGCGGAGTTCGTGTGTGGGGAGGCCAGGGCGGGCCGCCGCCACGGCCACCCTCCCTCTCGCCTCAGCCGCCCGCCTTCCCCCCTCAACCCGCGCCTACCCCTCCGCTTCTTTCCCGCCGACTCCCCGCCCGCCGCCGCGCCGACGAAGCTGTCCTCCAGCGCCGACACCCTGCGGAAACAGAGCGGGACATGTAGGGGCGGCCACGAAGCAGACGGACACACCGCCTCCCTCTTCCCGCGCTGCCCTCACCCCGCGGTCGCCTCAGCCGCCATCGC